GCTTTGCTCGAATCGTTCATGTTCCACCAGAGCGCTACATCTACCTAAATACAGCGGACACAGCCAGAACTAGACCAGAAGCAGTACTAACCTACCGCCTCTAGATAAGAAATAACAGGAATAGACAAACACAAGAGATTCAGCCGTGAGGGAATCAATGGATTCAAGTTGAAGAGTCAGACCAATGAACAGAAAATGATGAGTTGCCCAGGGTCCACATCGACAGGCACAATCGCCAAGTCTAACTCAATCTGTCGCTACCCAGCGCTCGCTCGCTGTAGGGCTGCTAGCTTACCCTAGACGGCTGTGGCTGCGCCTTGTAACAGATGGACGAGATGCAGGGCAGATCAAGAGATGGAGGCAATGACGAAGGCAGTTGATGTTTGAGCAAGTTTATATAAAGACGATGCTGTTCATCTTGAGAGTGAACTTTGTTGAAGCCAAACCCTACAAAACACTGTTGACTTATACCACCTACACTACACCATGGCAAATCCAACAAAAGACAATCTCTATGGCTACGATGCCAACAAAATCCTCCCCATTATTGCTTCGGTGATAATAGGATTATCACTCATAGGGCATTATGTCCAGAACACGTAAGTCATCATATGAGATGGATAAGTCCACACAGATGCTGATCCGAGCCAGTCGATACAAGTTCTGGCGAGTTACCTTCTTCATGTTTTACGCCGGCCTGTTCTTCTGCATCGGATGGGTAGTGAGAGCCATATCAGTACGAAAACCAGACAGTCTCCCCTTATACATGATCTCGAGCATCTTCATCTACCTCGCTCCTCCGGTATACTCAGCTGCCGAATACAACACTCTTGGTCGTCTGATGCACTATCTGCCAATGCACTCCATCATCAACCCGAACCGAATCGTGTACATATTTGTCTTCTTGGGTTCTCTTGTTGAGGTTTTGACTGCCATTGGTGCCTCATGGATGGCCGCTGGTAATGGCCGACAGGACGAGGAGCGACTAACTTCTGGTGCAACCTTCATGGCCATCGCGGTGATTCTCCAGGGGACAATCGAGATTGGCTTCATTGCCATGGTTGGAATTCTCCATAGGCGATGCGCCAGGGCCAACATGTTGCCTTCAAACGTACGAACTTTGTTCATCATGCTCTACGGCACGTCGATACTCATCCTCATCCGCTGTGTCTTCCGCGCCGTCGAGACCTTTGAGCTCAGGGACATTCTTTCCAGCGGAGAAGACAACAGCAATGCACTAATGAAGCGTGAATGGCCTTTCTATGTGCTGGAAGCCATTCCTGTCGCTCTTTATACGTACTGGCTTAATATCATCCACCCGGGACGATATCTACCTCACGACCAACGTCAGTACCTCGACTTCGATGGCAAGACAGAACGCATGGGCCCAGGATGGATTCATAAACGGCACTGGGTGATGTTTATAGCAGATCCATTCGACTTTATCGGGATGTTGTCGATGAAGAAGAGAGATCCCTATTATCTTCGCCCGAATGAATGGCCTGAGACGGACAACTGTTTTGCACAGGGCAGAGGATCCAATGTTAAGCCGGGAAAGTACAAGGCGCTTTCCAAGAATGAATCGAATGAGTCGAGTGTCTGATGTAATGGCCAGGGGTGAGTAGATCTCGATGGGGATTGTGTTTGAGATATATATCCTCTTGCATAGTAACCTTACGTATGTACTTCTCTTTTTCTTGTCGAAGCGTCTGTATGTAAGATAGATATGATAGCATGAATTCATCATAGTTTTAGTGTAAAAGTTTGTCAAGTTTAGGCATACTTTAGGATGTATTTATGGTGAGATTGATTGATGATGCTTTCAACTTCTGCCACTCGGTCAGATAGATCTCGGCGTCTCGGTAAAAACAACACATTAGGTTTTTTCCCTTCTAGGCAGATTAGACTCAAATTGCCTCTTATCCAATATCAACTCTGAATAAATAAGCCATTTAATACATGCTTTTATCATGAGTCAACCATTCCGTTGTGAGATTAGTCTTCTTTTATCATGCTTAGTCTACGCTTCTGTCGTCCCGACTTTCAGGGTCGAGATGCATGCAGACGGGAATAAATTTAAACATATTTGTTAAGCTTACCTTGTGTGCTTCACGAGACAAATCCCTCTTCTTGGCTCTAAATCTGGGCCATGAAAGGATCATGTCATGTCATCCAATCCACGTATGTACATACTGTATGTAAGCGGGACGATCGGTGACTTCATTGCCGGATGCGGCCCCACATACACCCCGACAATGACGTCGCTTGGCGGGCACTGACAGAATTCTTGGCTGCGGTTGGTTTCCTTGGCCACAGGGGAAAAAAGCCCGACGGCTTAAGGACGTCATTCACAAATCACAGCTGGAAGCCGCTGTAATTATTAGCGGTAATGACCCCTGATGGGTGATGATAGCTGATTCTCTAGTTGTTTAGCTGCTGTACCGTTGCATCCGCACGTCAGACTCCTTTATCGCTGGGGCCCGTCCGTCCCTGTCTGGGTCCGTCTCATCAGGATCATGCTATGTGCCATACCTTAGACCTCTAAATAAGTATCATGGCAACCCGCCCGCCTCACACGATTAGCTTTAAAAACTAAACTTTGCCACTGAAATGGGCCCTTTTCTCCTTATGATCGACCCTCCACACATTTTTTCCATTTTCTCCTTAGAACCAAGTTGTCTGGTCTGGTCTGGTCTGGTTTAGCTTAATCTCCAGTTTACCTCACCTCATTCTTGACTTGGCCATCTCGTCTTCTTCTTCTCATCACTGCCATCATCACCAACACCACATCTCTATACAACAATGCCCGAGGTGCGTAGGGGCAGCCTTGCCCCAGTGTCCGACTCGGCCCTCTCGTCGACAGATGTCCCTGAACCCCCCGTGGTCTCTCGCCCCTCGCAGTCCCACCAATCCTCGACTAATGGTGTACGATTCGACCTTCCAGAGGAGGCAGCCTCACCAGTTTCACCGCGAGAACCCCTCGACTCAGCGTTTGCAGAACTACCTCGACGGACATCTGAAGGTGCTCGACGAACATCTGAGGGCGCTCGACGGAACTCGGATGCTCCTAGAAGGAGTTCAGATGCGCGGAGAAGCTTATCCTATGCCCAGCGGCCCCAAGCAGAAGCATACTACGATTCTCGAGCCGCCACCCAAAAGGAATATCGACGACGAGCTACAACATTACTAGAGTACTACGACGAAAACCCCCATCTGCTGCCTCAGCTCCCGTTTACATGGCATCATGGCTGGAAGCGCTGGCGACTCTTCATCTTCGCATTCCTGGTGTTTGTCGACGCATCCGCGGTTCCGATAGCTCTATACTACGGACTCAAATATGCAGGGGACGTTGAAGGATGGATCATCTTTGCGGTAGTTACTACAATCTGGGGCGGTCCCACGTACTTGGAGTTCGCCATCCGCACCCTCCGATTGATCAAGGTGGATAGGTTCTACCGACCGCTAGGAACGAATCACCGGTGGTGCTTCGATATGCTGACGTACTCTTCCACCCTTACTATTTTTGTGGTCACTGCTTTGTTCATCATTGGCAGTGCACCTCACAATGTTTGGTTGAGAGTGCTGTGCATGCCTGCTCCAGCTATTCTTTACTGCTATGGTGGTGTTCTGTTCCTCATTACCCTTTACCACCAGATGAACTGGCCAGCTCCTTTCCGCATCAGCTCAACTGCAAAGGGAGAAAAGGTATGTTGAAAAGCACAAAACTAGCAGTTTGCCATATGCTAATTCTATGCAGGTCTTACCAGGTGTTTACTACTTCATCGAGGATGTTATCGCGGTTAATGCCCTTGGTGGCCGGCCTTATCGGGAAGCCTTAGCAGCTCGATACAAAGCTAGCCCACGTTTCCGAGAGATGGTCTACAAACAATCCTGGTTCTGGTCCATCCCGGCGCTAGTACTCGCCGTCCCCCTTACCGTCATATCCGTCATTCCACAAGTTCCGGCAACCGGCGCCTACGGTGTTGCATGGGCAGTTCCATTCTTGTGGGCCGTTGTTTGGGGTATTATCACGATCAAGTGGTGTAAGAGAGACATGAAGCGGGAGAGGGAAGAGTGGGAACTCGGAGTTGATCCTGAGAAGGAGATTAAGAGAAAGGGATCATCTATCGAGACGGCATCATAGTGGGGGTGAGGAGAAAGAGAGCTTGGTGGTGGTGATTTAATAGCGAGCATGATGGCATACACAATATCTGCAGGCCTTGGGCGTTTGGGAGTGAGAGCCGCAATAATGATAACGATCAGAATGAAGTGTAGCTACAGACGATGTCTCCATTCCATATCTGTACGTATACATATCTATTGATAGCAACAAAGAACATGAAAAGAAGCTGTTATCATATCACTTGAAGCACTTGGAGTTGCGCATTAGCCCACACCTTAGCTCTTAGTTGTGCGCACCACTAGAGCGACGCGTGTCTGTCACCACTACCACCATCATGCTACTGTCATATCAGCACAGCCCCCATGTCTCAGCATCATCCGTTGTCTGAGCCAGCAAATAGATAGTGCAAATTCAACGGTAGATCTCGGGGAGTCGGCGCTTACTGGCCCCGAGAGAGTGGCATCTGGAACGGGTCTTTTTTGGTGTCTCGTTGTCTTATGATTTTGACTCCCGATGAAGCCGAAGTGTCGGGCCTGTAATGGGTGAAAGAAAACATAAGGCCTCGATCCTAAATGATAAAAAGATTTAGGTAATATAGCCTAAGCTTTAGGATGACTTTTGCTAAGTTTATTTTGATAACCCTATAGTAAGGTTCGCTGTTTTCTTGCCCCCGAGGCCTGTGCATTTGATATCAAAACTTAAATGGTGATGGCGGCATAGCAATCCTTGTCAGGTGAGGATAATTCTTGAAAGGTCATTGCAAGCTATTGATTGGTGAGTTTTGCATTGTCATGTTGAGCACTGCCGACGTCAATTCACAAAATCTCAGTAAAAACGGTCTGCCTAAAACGCCCGTTCAGCTGTCTGTGGTGAGCGTATGCTCGTTGGCGCCAATGGCCGACAAACTTTCCAGAAATGTTGGTTATGGAGTGCTGGCGAGGAACAAAAGACCGGATCGGGTCGAAAGACTCCTGACTACAACGCATATAACCCCTTAACTGACGGGCCAGACTTCGCCGCTTGTCCTGAGCTGCCGTCAGGGGATGAGCTTATCAGAGATATCCAGGCTTGCAAGGAGTATATGGAAGTTGGCATCATGTTCGGGATGGACCCAACCAAGTTTCTAGCGGAGGAGAAGAAGATCTCGCCCAAGTTGAAGAAACAACAGCAGGCCGCTCGAGGTATTCATCCCCGAGACCAGCACGCCATGCGTATCTTCACGCCCTCGTCGAAGCACATTCCTACCCAAGCCAACTATTTCGTTGGTTGCCGGTTTGACTCTGGGCCTCTCCATCCTCGCCGAGTCCCAATCTGAGCAAGTCTTCTTTTACTCTGAATTCTGGGACGTCGTTTCAGATGATATGAACAAGAAGCAGAGAGTCAAGGCCACTGGCAAAAAATCAGAATCACCGTTTCTGAAAATTAAACAACAACTTCTCGAGCCAAAGGCGTGGTAGTCGAAGACGATATGGCCAAGCTTGTCACAGAGCATCGATTAGCCTTGACCGAGCCAGAGAACTTCCAGAACAAGATCCATCTTACATGGAAAACCTTCAAAATGAAGTATGAGCGGACCGGAAGTCGCGATACGGTTCTACTCGATGCTCTCCTCCTCGAGTTGGACAGGGCCAGAAATAAAGTGTTGATACACCCACTTCAGGCGAATACGCTTGCTTTCATTTTGATGCTGCAATCACCGATGGCGAGGCAAAGGCCCTCATTCACGAGGCCAAGGTATGCTCTACTTTACAATATGAGCATTGAACCCTTACTGACCTTTTCCCTCGCAGAGCATTGATCCTATCTTAGCTGGACTGACTCTCTCCCTTATCTCTGCTGTACATGCGGCTCTGTGTACAATGGTCAGCGAGTCCGAGAAAGAGAGACTGGGTGACCGGCTCCCCCGCGATGCCCTTCGCTTTTCCCTCAGAGCCTGCCTCAACTCAATCACATCAACTGGGTACCACAATGACGTGGTTTTAGAACAGCTGAAGGCCCACGTTGATTTTATTATGCATGGGGAGACAGTTGTTACCCAATATTCATAGTTCCTCCTCCAAGCGACTGTCTGCCTGTGACTGCCGAAGCATCGACCTTTCTCAAGGCATCACATCTCCGTATCGTCATCGTCGTCATCTCCTATGAAGGAACTCTCCATTTCCAAATCATCCACGGCATCGCCACTCTTGGGCCTCTCGGCGATCTCATTCTTAAGCACGTTGCTTCCTGGTATATATAATTAGAAGGTTCGGTGGTCAACGGACATGTACGGCTCTTACCGATATAATCGCGACTCTGGACGACATCCTTAGAGACCTTCCCGGATTTAAGTCGTTCTAAAACAGGCGAAAGCAGTGAGTCGACTCTCCTGATATCCTCCTTGGTGATGTCTCCCTTCTTCTAAAGCCGAATGGTGACGTTGTCTGGTAAATCTTGACCTTTGAGTCACAATGTAGCGCTTATAGTCCGTTTGTCATGATATCGAGTTCTCCTTCAACCCGATTCATTGCTTATTCCGTTGTCATAGATGAGAGTTTCGCTCTCTTCCTGCCCTTTTGCGTACTAGCAGTTGCGTTCAGTGCACTCTTCAATTCTAACAGACATTCTCTCAGATTGCCAATCTCGAGGTTTGCTGGTCCTTCGTGCGTAGATGCCACAGTTGCAAATTGGATATGCCGAGGGCGTAGACGTAGCAGGCTTCGAAAATAGAGATGGAAAGGATAAAAGCTCGCAACTGCTGTACAAGTGTCAGCTATCTGGTATTCGCATAGATGATTCAGGGGCTAAAGAGAAACCCGCGTGATCTCTAGGATCCTTAGGATCCTTAGGGTGAGATATGTAGGTACTTAACTCTCCCCTTCTTCGAGCTTCCTCTCTCTTGACTGGCCTCTTCGCACACCTCGACTTTCTTTTTGAACCCCAGTCCCTGCACCCTTTATACAGATGGTTTCCGCTTCCATCAATCCTGATTCTTCCCCATACTCCCTCTCCCACTCACTCACTCTAATCGTACACTTTGAGTTTTCCTCGTCTTCTCATCTATACAACACATATCGCCTCTAAGGTCGCTCTTCAGTGCAAATATACCAGCCACGCTTCGAGCTTTGGTCCCTTCTCATCTACTCTGATTTCGGATAGTGTCCGTACATATTCTAAGATGGCAGAGAGTCCTGCATCGGGAGCTACCCGCGAGGAGCCCAACTTCGACAACCACCCACAGATAACTGATGGTTTTCGCGACATTGCCACGCGCACTGAGGATCATTACATCGAGATATAGATATTTGGGATTTATGCATTTCACATTCAGTCACCTTTTGAGAAAAACTATGGGAGGTAAATTACTTCAGGGGGCCTCTATCAATCGTCATCGTTCATCCCTCTCAAACAAGTTTTATATATCTGATGTTGGCCTTAACTCGTAAAGCACTTGTTCCCCAATCTCAGCAAGTCCCCAGTCCCTCAATCCATGATGCAGTTTCATTGCAAGTTTTTCCGTAAACGATAACCTCTACTCTACTTACCCCAAATCAAGTCCTGGGTTCTAGTCCGTGCTGCCGTCATTACCCAGGCACTGGAGCATCTCGTCAATGCGATAAATGAGTTCCTTGTGTAACAGAGCTGCATCTCGGTTGGCAACTGCGGTCCAAATAGCATGGATTGCAGCCAGTTGTTCCATCAACAGTGTTGTGTTTTGGATATCGACAGAGGCGCCAAGCTGTTTGAATATTGTATCGATGTATGTGTGACGTAAAGAAGGCCCATGTTCAGTGTATGCCATAAACGACTCAAGACAGCTGCGGATGGCAATTAGGATGCGACGAAAGTCGACAGAGGATAGCGGCGTGTGATTCATGTGTGAGACTTGCCGACGTGACGATCTTGGGGTGCACTCGCCAGATAATCGCGAGTACATGACGCTAAATTTTAATGGCATGCTACGTGTGTCACCGATGCAGACATAAGATAACTCGTCATGGCAGTCAGCGCCTACATCGAGAACTATGGTCTGCCTGAACCGCCTATTTAGCTATCCTAATATTAATAATAACTGACCTACATTTAAGAACCTAGATAAAAGTTACACCAGTAATTCTGATAAATTCTTTCTCTTGATCTTTCCAGACCTTTTCCACAAGGCCTTCCTCCTTGAATCCATCGAGCAGCTTGACAACTTCACCCGAAGCACTCTCACCATCCCAATCAACACTATAGACACCACTTCCCTTATTCCCGTCAGTACCAACAGCAACTTCTCCCTCTTTGATACCATTCTCACTACCCCCTTTATCAGGATATCTCCCAGTCAAACACAACCACGCATGTCTCTCTCCACACTCCTCCTTAGGTAACCACTGTCTCCTGACTGTCATGCTGACCTTGAACCAATACTTCATAACCTGCATCATAAAACCGTCTCCACTGCGGATTAGGTTTGTATCAACAGAGCCAGGGAAGTTGTGAATGAAGGAAACTTCTGGTGCTTGACGAGAGAGTGCTTCCAAGGACAGAGTTAGGGCCGAACACATGTGCCCTCGGGAGTTGTGAATGCTGGTAAAGGGGATGTTGCGAGCTGCTATATCGTCGGAGAAGAGCTTGCCCTCGTGCGTACCAGCCATGACGCTTACCACACGACGAAGAGACGGTGCCTTCTTTAGCAGTGGGAGGAGATTGACTGCGAGACGGTTGCGAGAGTAGATAGTTAGGCCGGTAACCAGAGGCAGCCCTTCTTCGGTATCTAAGTCTATTAGTATGCGCAAAGTAACAGTCTGATGACGGTGGAACACTTGCCAACACCGATTCTTAGTGTCCCCTGACTTAAGAATAAAACATTCAAGACTGTCTCCTTGCTCTTGATATCCCGACAAACCTCATCCACATTCTTCAACAAGCTCATGTCCTTCTTGATGAAGACATATTCTACTTCAGGATTCAACTCCTTCAACTCAATTTGTAGTCTATCACCCGCCTCTTGAGAACGGCCGATGTAATAGATTTTGGGCTGTGTCGTATATTTGGTAAATGCTTTGAGACCTGTCTCGCCAATACCTGCTGTTGCACCAGCGAAGACGGCGACGAGCCCAGCTGGGAGCTTTGAAGCAGCCGAGGCATTGGTTTGCTGCACTTGAGATAGAGACACCATTGTTGATAAGTTTATAGAAGAGGTGGCTCCAAGTATTGATATTGAGACGAAACAACTGGCTCTTTTATACTGCTCTTGACACCCTCGTTTATGGACTCTGACATCGTCTCGCCAGCTTCAAGTACACCTCATCCAATAGAATCATGACCTGAATACGAAAACTGGTTAGCGCCGGGAATGTAGTGGATCGTCTCTTAGAAGGATGAAACCGAGTGCGAAGTCCGGAGCTAGCGACTTATCACTGAAGGCCTGAAGGAAGAACTTTACAATGTATTATGACGTGTTTGACCCTGTATTTGTGTTGGTCTGAGTTATGCTGAGCAACAGAGGAACCATTCCTCATTAGTTGCCAATATGCGCCCTCATTCCTATGACGCAAATACCTTCAGCCTCTTAAACACATGTTCTAGAACTCATCAGGCTTATTAGACCAGCTATTCAGGCAAGTAAATTAAATATGCAAAGTGACTTATAATAGTGTCAGCAGCCCACTGCTCGCTTCAACATGCGCTATTCCTAAAGATGCACCCATAAGAAACTAAGGAATACACAAAAGAAACGAAATGATAACGCCGTATCCTCAAGCCTGACTAAAACCAGGCTTTTTACCCTTTCTAAGGGCATCATATGCCATGTTGTTGTTATGTCCTAGCCGTTGGTATAAAAGAAGTTGATATATAATACGGGCGAGCGACAAATGAAATGTGTTTCGGTTCGGTTATGTCCATGTCTGGTCTCGTATCGTCTCATCGTTGATGGGCCAAATCGACAGGCCGCATCATGCATTATGAATACCGCTCATGAAAAGTTACAATCCCCCAAAGACGGAGAAGATATAATAATGTCGTGATCCCCTTTTTACAACTGTCCCATCCTTTGACCTCCCCAGCTTCCTCCTCATGTAGCTCGTCCACTTTGTACTCCCACAGTTCATTGTTCAGGGCGGGGAGGCTCGGCCTGCCATCCATTGATATATGCCATCAACCCCATGCCAAATAGTACAACGCCAAGCATTGAGGCATAAGGTAGCGCGGCTTGGAGGCGCTGGTCTTGTCCACGCACAACACCCTTTTGGGTTGCTGGTGTGATCGTGCTGGCCCGAGACAACGTCGGTGCGTCCAACGCTTCATCAGCAGTAGCGGAGCCGACGACATCTGCTTCTCCAGTGGCGCTTTTAGAAACCCCAGTGTCAGCGTTAGTCTCGCCAACGACAGCACCAGCGGCATCAGTGTCTCGCTTCCTTGACCTCGATCGAGCTTTCTTCTCAGCCGCTTCTCGAAGTGCTTCCTCAGCGCGGAGCTGAACGACCATCTCGGCAAGCGTCTTCCTATCAGCATCTCTCTCTGACTCTACAGTCTCACATCGTTGCTTCCACTCTTCCATCTGCTCCTTCATATCCCGCATCTGACTCTCCATCATGTCAATTCGACTTTGAAGAGCAGCGGCTGTCTCCTGTGCAGCATCGACAATAGGGGTCTCTTCATTGGCCTCTGCTTCAGGGGCTTCAGGGACAGACTTGTCTTCTGTGGCTTCAGACACCTCTTCCGAAGCTACGCTTCCAGGTACAGCTGACCCATTCATATGCACGGTCGCGGATTCTTCCAAGCGCTTGGCGAGCTCTTCTGCTTCCTCTCGTGCACTCCTCTCCTTCTGCAGCATTTCTTCCAACTCCCGCATCCGTGCTGTTTGTGAGTCGATATCTCGCTTCGCGTTGTTGAGGGCCTCGGTAAGTTGAACAATCTGGCTGAGGTTATCAGGCCGGACAGGTGAGTTGGGAGGACCAGACTTCGGTCGCTCAGTTGGGCCACGCTTAAGTGAAGGCACATCAGGCTTCTCGGGAAGAGGCTGTTGGGGAGGGGGAGCAGGAGGATCAGAAAACCGTGCTTTGGGGTCGGCACGGAAAGGTGTCCCCATTCCATTTACCATGGGTTGGGGTTTAGGGGGTTCAAGGCCTTCGGGCTTCTCGAGATCCTTGAGGTCATCTTTGGACAATAATGTCTGGACGAACTGATTAGTGCGGCCCAGATCCTGTGCTTGAAGTCGAGCATTGCGCATTTCGTTCTGGAAAGAATTAGCCTAATCATGGCAACGGATTCGAGTACGACGTACCGCAAGCCGTTTCAATATTTGATCAGTAGCAACAGGGGTAAGAAAGAATGGTCTTTGTTGTGCCATTCCGTTGACTTGCATGTTCATAACACCGGCGCCATTGGGCATCATCCGACCGTTGCTGGCCATAGACGCATTGCTGTTAGTGCGGCCTCGCAGCTGCATAGGCCCTGAAGGCATCATCATAGCGCCATTAGCTGGGTCGAGGTCGCCGAAGTTCATATCCATGACATTGCTCGATGCGCTAAGAAAGCCAGCATGCTCAACCTTGGCAGCCACTTTGTGATGGACGACTGTTTTCTGATCTTCGCTAACAATGTCGATGCCAAGCTCAAGATGGTCGGAGGTCTGCAGTTCATGTGGCTCGGATTCGCGATTTTCCTGTGATAGACGAGTCCCGTTGACAAAGGTTCCATTCGAGGACTTGACATCTCGTATATAAATTTTGCCATTGCGTTCCGCATAAATTTCAGCATGTTGTCTGGACAGCACTTTACTGTCGAAGAAACCGTTGGTTGGGGTCGGGATAGTCTTTTGGTTTGTTTGTCGGCCTATACGGAGGCTTTCGGGGGCAAAAGGCACAGCGATTGTTTTCCGTTCAAAGGTACCGTTGAGTGATAATAGATATAGAACTGGTTGGCCAGGAGGAACTTGTTCGGCACTCATGGGCCGCATCATTCCCTGAGATGTCATCTGAACCTGGCCAGGGCCGGCCTGTACAGGCCCATGGGCCGTTATCATGCCTTGACCTCTGCCAGCGGGCAGTCTAGACATGTCCTGTTGTTGAAATTCCCCTTTTCCTGGCGGCCAGGGGGCTTTCGGTTGGGGCCGTTTTCGAGGTGCGCCGTTAGCCGACCATTGGGTCAAATCTGAGGTTGAAGACAATGGGGTGCCGCCATTAGCGTGGGAGCCGTTCGAGGCAACTGTGGTAGCAGACGAGTTCGAAGATGTCGAGGAAACAGACGACGATGAGTTGGATCGAGTAAGGGTCTTGCGGGGCGCGAACATGCCAATGCCACCTCGACCTTCTTCCGAATTCATTTGATGGTTGCCGTTAATCGGACCCCATGCTGGTCTTGACGCGGAGAAGGTTTGTGGAGTTGCGACTGCAGTCATGAGGATAATTGATGCTCAGCGTGTTGCGGCCGATAAACGCAGCGTCGAAGATATGAAGATGCCGGATACGGAAGTAAGACGTGTGCGGCTCGCGCGCCTACGAGGCTGATGTCACTCCACCGGCAAGTCGGAGGCTGAATGGACTTATGATGGCGGGATCGAAGAAAAACGTTGTAGTTTTGATGAAATACGATTGAAATTTGAATACTTCAAGGTGGCTTGACGTTGCTGGTGGACAAGAAAAATCATGAGCTCGTGGCTGGGAACAGGTTTTGGTAATGAAGAATTGAGACGATCGGCGATGACCCCGTCGGACCAGGGGCAGGAGGTCAAGAGGCGAGTCGGGCCAGCGACAGCCAGGATGGGTGCTTCACTCACCAAGCACGAGGATATCGCGATGTCGGAATAGGGTTTCGCGTCGCAAGAGACGATAGTTTAGAAGGCTTCAGGGCCGTGAATGAGTTGATGAGAGGTTGCCGTAACAGTGACAGTATGGGGGAGGTCTCGCTCGCTAAGCGCTGCTTGGCGTGTTGGCGTGTTCAAATTTGGAGCCCCCGGTCGACAACTCTCAGCTCAGGCACACGGAGTACAGAGCACAATGGAGCACACGCCCAAAGACTCTGGCATGTGCTCACTGCTCGCATAACCCCAGCACCATAAGAAACAAAGGCTTGAGTGTCAGAGATTGTCTTGTAAGTGAAAGAGAATTGTCTGAAAAAAACACAAACCATCAAATCCCTCTTGCGAGTCGGAACCGCCTTGTGGAGCCATATCTTGACCCACGAGAGGGACCACGTGACGATTTCTTCACAGTAAAGATATGTCACTATCTTATCCCGCACTGTACGGTAGGATGATCCGTGTCTCGAGTCCCGCACCGACCTTTCTCCGAACCCTGATTCCACTTTAGCAATTTAGCCAATGAGAGTAAGCCTCGGGAGGTCATTCGGGTTCGAGGAAAGTCGTCGTATGAAGAGAGCTTCATCAGCAATTGCTCTACTTTGCGCTGTGCCACTTCGACAAACTTCGCCGCCCACGATCGATAATTCAGCACGCGCAGCAACTCCAAAACCTTGCGTAGAGACCTTCCGCGCTCACAATGCCTCCCGTCGCTCCTATCAATGCTGGCCAGCATGGCCCCTCCAACGTGGATAAACGTAGGCTGATATCATTCTCATGGCATTGGGTGTTGGCTAACAAGTTCACAGTCAAGATGGGTGCTATGATGGGTGGAAGTACGGCCTACTCCTCGTTAAGCTCTTGTTCGCCGTGAAAGATACTGACATGGCATAGCTGTTGGTGTCATCATGGGTTTTGTCTTTGGTTCGTCTGCAACCGGATGCGCTGTCTCAGCTCTGAGGTCATAACTAATGATAACCAGGAACTGTCAACATTTTCCGGTACGGAGCCGGCCCTAACGGCATTATGAGAACCCTCGGTCAATACATGCTTGGCTCCGGAGCAACTTTTGGGTATTTCTGACACAGACACCAACGACTTACACGAGTGCTAACCATGGCCCTACAGCTTCTTCATGTCCATTGGTAGCGTCATTCGATCCGATGCCGACCCCAAACTTCACGAAATGTACATGCGAGCTCAACGCCGGCCTATAATGTTGATGGCCAACCCCGCGTGGAGGAAATCATGAGAGCATCATATCATACGAGACGAGAGCAATACCCAGTCGACTTCGACTTCCACCCTGTACAGTCTGGCCTCTGATGGCCGCAATCTGTAAAATACATATCAAACTATTTCGAAATGGACCAATCTATTGTCAAGTTTCAGACCCACCATCGATACAGTGCATCAGACCAGTCAGATATCTGTTGGTCTCACGATGCGAGGGTTTTTTGTTATGCTGTCAGACCTTGCAGACCGCTGCGTTTTCCGGGTTCAAGTGACCCGTTTATATGTGACTGCATTTGAAGATTACACAACAATCTTTGAGAGGCGGCAAGAGAGCTGTGGCGTTCAATATAAGCCCTTAACCGTCCAGGTTACATTTCCTTTCAGACATGATCGGCACACCACTACCCCTACGCGACCCAGCATGTTGGCCTACCCCACGGCTGCCGATACGAGGTGACAACAACAACCACGCTCGATGTTGTCGAGCAGCTGGAAGTTCTTAACGCTTAAACTTTCCATAAGCTAACCGCTTTGGCTCATGCAATTTTGTCAATGGCGTTCAATAGCTTGTTATCGCATCCTCTTTTTTGCATATGCAGCAGGAAGTCAACCCTGCTTTTGCACAACTGGCGCCATGCTTCTTCGCTATTGGCGATCGGTCCAGTGGGCTGAGGGAATTGCTTTTTAGAGGACAGCTGAGAACGAACTCTGAGTCTCACAACTTATGCATATTGAACAACATCGTGCATTGACGGAATATTTCTTGGGCGTGTGTCTGATTGTGCTGTTACATCGAGTTGAATCGTTTTATGCGGTCCATTTGAAAGCACGATCACATGCCTTTGAAGCTGACATGCTGACTTTACTAGGCTCCTTGATGTCTGGATTACTATCTCTCGACATTACGAGATTATTGATCGGTCGATCGCAATTGGCGCTTTCGTAGCACTAATTACCAAATGAGGAACCCCCCGGCTTACACGCTTTTTGAACTGTTGGAGCTTGGTGTTGTTGGGCTGCATCGTGCAGTCCCCAATCATGACTGAGCAAACTCAAGACAAGGTTAAATCTATTCGATCGATCCTTGCCTTTCTACACACAGTCAGAAATAGTTAGAGAGGCGGTTGCCTTCAGGGCATCAACCAATGTCTGAACTGTATTTTCTGACGCTTTCCTCGCCGGCTGGCACTAGCTTATCACGCTTGGTACCAATGCCAATATCAGCAACTTTTGCGGGCAATCTTTTCGTATTGCTGCTCGAATTACTTACTTCTTAAGCTCAATTGGACCCACTACGTTTCTTTTACGTACCTGACTACTCAGAAAAAACGGTCTGCCTGAAACGCCCGTTCAGCTGTCTAGGATCATTGCATCTGTTGGGCGGGACGGGCTACGATCTGGGTATACCCCAGTTGCAAATCATCAAAAATGCTTAACCATAACACGGCAAGTCGAGATACGGATGTTCAAGGTGTACTATCCGGTGGAGATCTCGTGTCTATTTTCCGCATCCATTGTCTAAGGCTGAGGCAACTAAGACAGCGGCGGCCATTCCGCCACACCCCCAATATCCCTACCACAACATTCTCACATCATGGGCCGGTGAAGCTTGAGGTCTCCTCTCTGATAGGGCAATTTACTTTTACGAATTGCACTTCTTGGTGTGCTGACCGTCATCATGGCTTGCAGCTGTCCTGGTGCATGTAAGGCCTCGCCATGTGGTCCTCTCTCACCAAGCTCTAGTCCTCAATATGACTACAACACCTCTCATGGATATGGGACTCAGCCATGCAGGCTTAGTCCATGATAACCGAGAGTAGCCAAGGTTGACCCGTATGCGATCGCCCGTTTCTCGCAGATGAGGCTTGATCCCACGGGTCTTCGGCACACGTCTTGTCCTAAGATAGAAGTTCACTCTGCAGATGGACTGAGCTCATCAACACGCCCCTCATGGCTATATAGACCAGTGTTGGTTCCTGTGAGAATATGGCATATCTCAGCATCCTCCCTCCATAGAGACTCCAAGTTCGCTGTGCAGTATGGGCAACACTAATAGCAGTCCATTCAATCTCGGGGACCTGGGACAATTGTCCCAGCTACAGACTAATGGGTTAGGCAGTATGCTTCCGAACATCTATATGTATGAACTAATCTATTAATAGGGAGTCGTCGTATGGCACATTTGATGCACCTGACCTGCCAACTTTCCTCACTGACAACCCTACTCCTAATGGCTATCCTTGGAGTACCATGAATTCCCAAACAAATTACTATCAGGACCAACCAAATACCGGAGTCATTAGGAGGTACGACTTCACTGTCAGTCGGGGGACGATCGCCCCTGACGGCTATGAGCTGTCCACAATCCTCGTGAACGGGCAATTTCCTGCGCCTCTGATTGAAGCAAATTGGGGCGACACCATCCAAGTCACTGTTCATAACGACTTGGACGATGAGGGTGTCTCTTTGCATTGGCATGGTATCCTTCAGAAGGGAATGCCGTGGGAAGATGGCGTTCCGGGTGTAACCCAATGCCCGATCCCACCTAAAAAGAGTTTCACGTATCAGTTCCTGGCCGACCTCTATGGAACAAGTTGGTACCACTCTCATTATTCCGCCCAAGTTGCTGCTGGTTTATTTGGTCCATTGGTCATATACGGACCACGAGAAAAGAAAGACTATGACATCGATATTGGACCCGTTATGTTGAGTGATTGGTACCATAAAGAGTATTTCGATCTTGTTGAGGAGATTATGAAACCCGGTGGCAATGGTGTTGTTCTTTCTGACAGCAATCTCATCAACGGAAAGATGAACTTCAACTGCTCCAGTGTGGCACCGGGAGACAAGACGCCCTGCAAAAGCAACGCTGGCATCTCCAAATTTCGTTTCAAGCGCGGTAAAGTCCACCGCTTACGCCTCATCAACCCAAGTGCCGAAGCCATACAACGATTTTCCATTGATGGTCACACAATGAAGGTCATTGCGAATGATTTTGTTCCAGTAGAGCCGTATGACACCAAAGTTGTAACTCTTGGAGTTGGTCAACGCACAGATGTACTGGTCAGAGCTAACGGCAAATTGGACTCATACTGGATGCGCAGCAACATTTCTGCCATCTGTAGTCTGGGTCGCGCCCCAGCTGCCCTTGCGGCAATCTACTACGACAATGCAAATCAGAAAAAAGCACCCAAATCACAGGCTTGGGACATCCCAGATCCAGGGACTTGCGCCAATGATGATTTGGGTATAACAAAGCCAGTGATGAAGCTACCTTTGCCTCCAGCTGACAAGACTATTGAGCTTGATATCAGCTCATTCAAAAATGCAAGCAATGTCACGCTCTGGACATTGGGAGGAGTGGCTGCAAGGACAAACTACAACAGTCCAACTCTGCTCCTTAGCAAACTTGGCAATCACACATTCGAGCCTGAATGGAACGTGATAAATACTGGAAAGGCAAAGAGCGTGAGAGTGGTCGTCAATAACAAGACTCCCGTGGCGTGAGTACTCAATCAAATGGGTGCGGCTTCTTGCAGTTGCTAACAATGATTTCTGCTTAGACATCCAATGCACTTACACGGCTTCAACATGTATGTCCTACATGAGGGGCCAGGTTCCTGGGATGGAACAATCATAAACAGACACAATCCACAGCGTCGCGACGTCGTCCAGATTCGGGGCAATGGTCATCTCGTAATACAGTTCGATGCCGGAGAAAATCCGGGTACGTTTACCTTCCCTGACTCACTCAGCCTTATGATAATCACCCCTTTCTGCGGTCACGGTTGCATCGTGCTGACATGCATTTGCTCATAGGTGTATGGCCGTTCCATTGCCACATCGCGTGGCACGTCTCGGCAGGATTTCTCACGCAGTTTCTCACGAATCCAGATCAAGTCAAGAAAGTACGTATACCGAACGTAGTGGCCGAGACGTGTCGGCAGTGGGGACACTGGACACTTTCAAATATCCCAGCGCAGATCGACAGTGGGTTGTAAGCAAATGTGATCCTAGGTAAGAAAGGGGGGGGGGGGGCGGGGGCAAGAAGACTTCGGACCTTTATCCTAAGGGATGAAAAGGCTTAGACAATTGTGCCTAAGCTTAGGGGAGATTTTACTGAGTTTGTTTTGGCATCCTCTTCCAAAGTCTTATGTTTTCTTGCTCCCTGAGGACCTGGGTCTTCTCTTCGTCTTGTGTCATTTTTTCTTAAAGCTGGTGTCGATCTGTATGATGAGTATGATGTGATATGAGATCAGGGCCAGTCTGATGGTATATTCTCCTATATAAGGATCCTCTATAACAAAAGCTACAGCATATGTCAAGCAACACAGAACTTAGTAGCATGGTAATGATAACCAATTCTTTCATTAGACTGACTCTCGCATTGATCTTGTCAATGCGGACTATCTATGTAACCGTACCCTATTGCATTTCATCGTGATCAACATAAAGAAACTCGTCTAGTCATCTGCCATCAGTGTATAGCGGGCAGGAAGTTTTAAACCTTTTACACCGGCCCCGTTTTCGTACACCGTTAACTGTTGGAACGCCCCATCTATACTCATAGTACTTAAGGAGTAACTACTTCTCCTTGTTACTGAGAGATGCTGGTACAGTTCCTCCTGTTTTAGCCTCTATCTTTGATTCCTCTGCCTTTGGTGGCTCTTCTTCAGGGGTTTGTGGCATGGGGGGCTCTGTGACTAAAGACTCTGTCTTGCTTGCTTCGGCCTCCAGCTGCTCAATATGAGCTCGATCTAGTTTAGATTGTTGGCTCTTGGGCACCTCCTTGATATCATTTTCCAGGTCTGTAATAGCTGTAGCTGTTTCTGGTTCTCGTTGTTTGTCTTCGTCCTTTGGCTTTTCCGAGACAGTGGGACCATCCTTGTGCTTCGTGGGCTCTTTTTCCAATGGCACGCCTTCGTCGCTCTCGTCAATAACGACAGCGCCAACTTCGGCGGCCAAGCGCTCAACCTCATCTTGTACGGCATCCTTCTCTCTACCGCCAAGCTGTCG